TAAATTAGACAACATGGTCAAGAAATGTCTAGGGGAAAGATTCCTTATTACTCTAATCAAGCTTTAGCCTAAATTTTATGACTGCAAAAACACATATATTTTACACAGAACTTTGAATATTTTAGACAGAAAAAAAAAATAATTAAATTACTTCAAAACTGAACACTGGGGTAAATGTGCAGTAAACTTACGGTAAAAAACCCTATTCATGTTGGAGCAACCAGTAACTGCTAACTGGATGGTATTTGGATACTTAATAAGCAAACCAGCTTTGTCTAAACAACTCTTCCTTAAAAAAGTGTAGTTTTTCCAGTAATCACTTCAAATTTCACTGATTTGCAAGTTTTGTATTTTTCTTATAGTTCTAATTAGCATGCCTCTTTTACAAATGCTTATTTTCTATTCATTTTTATCAGATTACATTTGGCAGCAGTGGGAAAACAAATTGTTCCTGAATAAATTGGAATATAATATAATTATGTGCATGCTTTAATTAATTTTTAGCAATGGCTTTGGCCTTCAGGTTGGGAGTAATCCTACATGTTTCATTTCCTATTATTTTTTTCAATATTATGCTCCTAAAAATTAGACCAGGGAAATAAGTATTTCAGTACCTAATGGAAACCTTAGATAATAAGCATTTTCTTTTTCAGCTTTTTAAAGACCTCTTCATTAACATTTCATAGATTGATTTCACTTTGATTCGAAGCCTACATTACTACTTTATTGCAGGCTTTTACATTGTTATCAGCTCTTGCTTAACTATGATTTTACTACGGTGTGAGCTCTTGCTTATATTTTCATACAGGAAAGGTAGCAAAGCGATCGGATATCAGCATTCATTTCTTCTGTCCCAGAGAACATAGTCATCTATCAGTTTTATAAAGTTGAGGAGGAAAAATGAAAACTGTTCTAGAAAGATTTTATATTCTGCATCATATTACATGAGTGTGGTTATAATTTCTTTAGAATATTCAAATAATTTATCTGTGTTTGCCCACAATAAATTATTATATTAGTATCCATGGGGCACAGTATAACAACTTGCTCACACTATTATGGCCTCTCTTTAATAGCATGCACAGATGAAACTATGGTCATGCTGCAGTCAGAAATAAAGTAATCATTTTGTAAATACTGAAAGTCTAGGGAAGATTAAGCTTTGGTTTCAGTGGTAAGTCTGTTGAGATAAACAGGGAATGCATTTATTTGAGGCTTTCTACCAACCCAAGGAGACTTGTATGGGGTTTATGTTCTCCTCCTTCATGTTTTGTTTTTTCCCCTAGAACTGCCATATTGGGTGATTTATTTCATTTAGAAGTATATCAGGCAAGGGGAGATTCAGTGGGTCCTTCCATGACACACATAGTTGCATCAAAACTTACAATGTAATTTAGTATAGTGCTACCCAAGGGTTCTGTCATTAAGTTGTTCATAATTCTGTGGTGCTGTTTGCAAAGACATGGAACAGAACATCATCTGAATCTGAGAATGTAGCAGTGATGAAGCAAATAAATACAGAGGTAGATGTATTACAAAGTCTTGTCTATGACAGTTACTTTCTCCATAGGAAAAAGTTTAGGATCAGTGCATCTGTTATGGCTGTGCTGATAGTGAATGCACATTAACCAGTGATCACTAAAACTTCAGGCAGTCTTCTGAGTGTGCCCTTCCTTTCAGCACATTGAACTAAATACTTATAAAGTGCAAAAGTTGTTGATAACCAGAACTCTAAGATGCCTTTTTTTTTTTTTTTTCCCCCTCCTTCTCCTCAAGTGTAGTGAATTTAATGCTGACTAAATTGCAGGAGTGACAACATTGTCTATAAAGTTGACAGGGGCTGTGCTGTGCTGTGGGCTGTTATGGCCCATCAGAACTCCCTTTCTCAGACACATAGGAAATTTTTCACTCTAAATCAACACTTAATAAAGTATAGTAAACTTTATTTTGTAGTTTAGTATATTAAAGTTTTGTTACCACATACTGTTCCACAGATACCTTTTTACTCCATCCACAAGCTCCTCCTTCCCTCTTTCCTCATCCCAGAAAAAGGAGCTGTCGCACCATCTCCCAGCCCTGTGTTGTACCACACTCGCCACTGGTGTCTTCCAGAGGCAACTGGATACCATTTCTTTCCTTGCAACTCCCTGTTTTGCCGCAGTATCCTCTGTGCCAACAGTGTTCAGATGTAGACCTGGTTGGGAATGCATTCAAGTGTGTCTAGCTGTAACGTTTTTCTTCTAACTACCATATATTCACATGAGTATTTCTAATCCATGCCACCACTGCCAGTCTGAACACAAGAACTTTCAGAGTATTCATTATTTATTTCTATGGTGTATTATCTGGAATTATTCTTACAAAGATATGATATGATCAGGGAAATAATATTGAGGCATTTTTTAAGGTCTAATTTTGGTAAGGATTTAAAAGAGCCTTTAGGCATGTAGCTCTCAAAGCTAAAATCCATGGTCTTAAATTTCTAAAGACTAATGAAAAAACTTGCTCTTGCAAGTTCTGCTGAATACAGTGCCTCATTAGTGCTGCAGGTGATGTGATAGTGTTCCACAGCTACCTGGAGACAGACCAGTGGAGAGGGAGGGGGTGAAAAAGTGTAATTACTCAAGCAACACAGAATAACTACTAAGGTGTTTCCACTATATCAGAAATGTGCTAAATGCATATGTAAAAAAATTTCAGTGTATATAATTAAACCCTAGCTTGCACTGTCTAATTCTTTTCTGCATTTGCAGTTGGACTCTTGGGAAGTTAGCTGTGTTTTCACCAGCATGTGGACACAGTCTAAAAGATAGCATGAATTTCTCCATGTGTTGAAATTTCTTTATAATGGGAATGAGTCTCACAGGGTCTACATCAAGCCTGTCGGCACATTTGAAAAATTCTAATTACTTCTGGATCAGAGGAACGCAGTTTAACCAAATGAACTGCAACCCACCTACATTACAACATTTTCCAAAGAGCTTGGTATGTGAGTGCAGTATTTTTTAAAAGGATTCCGAGTAATGGATGACTCTTACAGCAGATTTTAATTACATCAGTTTGAGCAGCTGGGTGTAAAACACCCTTTTCTGTAAATTTGGCTAGGCCATAAGAATTACTTCAGATTTGAAATGTGAAGCCATCTACTTCAGAAATAAATTTTCATTTCCAGTTTAAAATTGTATACAAATTTTAAAATATGCATGTCTGTCCTTTTAAAGTGACTGAGTAGTAGAAGTGCAATTCAGAGCACATTTCAGTCAGATGGCATCTGTAATTACAGCAGTGCCCTGTGCTGCATATCTGGAGAAGCATGTGAAGAGCCCAACAAAGAACAATTATGTACTGCCTCTATTGATTGACTAATAACACATTTCATGAGTATACATTTACAATCTGTGCTTAAGAGGAAGCAAGTGTGCCTTCTGCCATTTTCATATGTTGAGGTACCCAATACCGCCAGTCTTCCTGGGAAGCAGCTGCAGGAGAAAGCTTGCAGGAATTCATGGGAACTGAGCTCTGGCAGGCACTGCACTGTGAGATGTGGACAGCAGCTGTCTCTCACGGAGGACTGATCAAATTAATCAGTAGGTAGGGAGTATCTGGCTTTGCTGAGAGGCAGCCACTCCTGGATGTTCCTAGAACTGCAGGAGCCAAGAGATGCTGCCTCATTAGGTCCTAAGAGTTGCCTCTGAGGGGAATTGAGAATTTCCTTGTGTTCTGAAGTTGGCAAAAGCTGTCCTTAGTACAAAGGCAAGAGTCTACTGATAATGATGGACAGTGTTTTGTCCTCTGTGGATAATCTGTCATTACTTATGACGTGGTAGAAGAGAAATGGTGACTCAGCTAGCTAAGCTAAAATACTAAACTAAACATGATTTAGCAAATGCTCAGCAGAAAAGAAAGTAGCCTCACCTGGAGGACCATGAGGGTTGGCTTTGGCTGTTGGATTAATGCTCCACTCCTGTAATGTCCCCTCTCCATGTTCTCACTGATCACAGAGACATTTCTACCTTGAGCCTCTATCCTGTTCCTTTTTAATGGGTACCTCCTCACCCATGCATGGCCTGTTAGACCCCGTTAATTAGCCATTTAAATTAGTCTGTGTATCCAGCCCAATCTAATGCATGTATTCAGTCTGGCAGTTGTATGTAGGTTCCAGTATTGATTCATGTGATTCATTAACACTTCTACGTAAGCTAAGATTGTATTTTTTCTTTTTGTTACAACAATTAGATCTCAAAGGGGTCGCAGATGTTCAGTGATTTTGCCTCCAAGAGACCACCCCTTTTTTTCTCTCTTAATTTGCTGTAGTGCAATACTGAACTGAAATACGGTGATTCTCTTTTATAATTCTCCTTAACTATTTAGAGAAATTTGATTATCAGAGCTTCAAAACATTAGAATTTTGTGACATAGGAAGTGCACTTAGATCGACAGAAATGTGCCTCGGGCTGTGGAAATGGAGCTCTGATGTGCTCTTAAATCGCACCAGGTTCTGCTTGAAGAAGGAAACTACAATGTAATATCTCTTCATAAGTGATAAATGTTTACACTTAATTAAATACTACTACCCAGCCTTCTGGAAAAAATATGAGATACTTGGACACACATTTGTGAGAACTCTAGAATGAAGAGGGAATTCATTGTATTTGCTCTTCCATTTGTTTGGAGTTCAGACTAAATAGAATTTGCAAATTAGGGTAGGTAAGCAAAGAGAAAATAAGGCTATTTGAAGTCAGCAATTGTTTAGTATACTACCTGGTGCTGTTAAGTTGACCAAAATGTCAGTTGAGACATTTTAAATTAAAACCCAAAATAATAAAACTGCAGATTCGTGTAGCTGGATTATTTTCACACTGTAAGAAGAATCTGAGCCTCAGATTTGGAACTAATTATTAGAAGCTATAAATCACAAGGACTGATAGGCAAATATTTCTACAAAATGTTCCAGTGAACCTATTGGGGGGAAAAAAAACCCCATTGCATTATTTATTGGAATGGTGATGTGGCACTTGCTGGAAATCAGCATGAGCCATCTTTCTTCAGATTTGGTACTTGGCTATGAAATTACCGCAGTCCTTCATGAGTACCTTCTCTCCCCCCATAATGTTTGTATTTCTGGAAAAGACTGCTTCACGTAAGTAGTGACAGTTGTTTATAAGTTAATGTTGGCCACACAAGGCTCAGACTTCAGTTTAAAAATATGTTTGAGAGATGCACTTACTGCATTTTATTAATATTTTAAACTTTAGCAAATAGCCAGATATTGTAGCAGTTTCTCAAGAATTGTGTCTTTGTAGTGCTAGTAGGCAAATTAGTATCAAACAATGGAACTTTATTTCTCCATCCTAAGACAAGTCCTCTGTTTATCCAGCATTTTCCATGTAATTATCGCTTTTAAAAAGGTGTTTATAGTAAAGATGTTTAAAATTTAAAATCAAAATGTGATTTGAAAATAAAATAAATCTGTTATCTTTTTGTAGTTCAGGTGGGATTAATTGTATGTATTTCTACAAATCTGTTGAATTTTGGGCTTAGTCTTCATAAAGTCTACATATTTCTTGTTATTCTCTGCCTTGGCTGCCACTAGTTTACTTGTCAAATGCTCTGCACCTCCACCTTCACCACCACCACCACTGTAAACCGCAGTTACACATAGTCTTAGCTGAGAGGGAACATCTGTTTTCTGTAACTCTTAACCTGCTGCTAATGGGTTTCCACAAACTGGCTTTGGAACAGGTGCCTGGGAGCAAAACTATAAGGTTACCATTTTCCCTGCTGTCTTTTTACCCTTCTTGGGATGGATTGAGAAGGAAAAACTGTTCTTGCATTGTGTGCAGTGGGCTGTAAAAAAGAATTTCTGGCTCACTGGCATTGTAGATTTCATTTTTGTTTTTAATGGGAATTGTCTAGGGGATCACCTCTATTTTCTCCAGCTTATACAGTAAGAGGAGTTTTATACTGCAAGGATGTAATTTTTCTTTTCTAATTTTCTTCTGTAGTCTGCCATCTTCAACTTTCAGAGTCTACTGACTGTGATCTTGTTGCTCATATGTACCTGTGCCTATATCAGATCCTTGGCTCCCAGATTACTGGACAAAAATAAAACTGGGTATGTAGTCTGATCACTTTAAAAATACACAAGCTGCTTGGTTTTAACTGGAACATTTTATTATCTTCTAATGGGTATGTGATGATACAAATCCTATTTTGAAAAATTTCTCACTCCTTTGAAAAAAATCTTCATTTTGTACCTTACAGTAGAATGCAATAAGATATTTGCAAGCACTTAAGTTGCAATTTTGTAGTAAGAATTTATTAACTAACAAAGCCGGCTAATATTGTTTTATTAGTTATTTTTTAGAATGTCAACTTTCTTGTTAAATATTTATTGAAAAATACAGAAATGGGTGACAGAAAGAAAACATTTTCCTATTATGTGGCAATTGCTGTAATGATTTATTTTGATTCTTAGGGTGGGTAAGAAAACATTAACAGCAGAAGCTGGCCTTTTGTTCATTTTCAGGATAGTCATTTTGGTGGTACAAGTACAGCTTTAGCAAAAATTTGTAACTAAAAATAATTTGTTTTCCAAATAAGCAACACTACCCTTACGTATCGTCTCTTTAAGTCGGTTTTTTGTATTCTCTAAGATGAAAGAATTTGTAGAAGAGTTCTTGAAAGCTTCTACAAAACCTATTTTATTTGTCCTTTGGCCACTTTTATTCCTAAAGCACCGTGTGTCTAGGTGACCAATGTTTTTCTCCTTTGTATTCCCTGTTCTCCTGGAATGCACTTAATGTTGTGGGGCCAATATGGCTGCAAAACAGTTCTTCTCTACCCTGCTCAGCAGCACAATTCTTGGAGTGAAGGGAAATGGGGACAGCCACAGAGCCAAATCTGTGCCTCACGCTGTTAATACCCATTCACCTTTTTGGCTTACCAGTTTTCTTTGTGCTACAAAGAATGTGACTGGATGTTGGGTGCAATCAGCAGTATGCAGAAACTTGATTTAAATACTGTGATTTTAAAGTAACAATTGGGCAATTTTGACCTAGAAACCACTGAGGCTGTCTATAGTATTTCAGTAATGCTGTCACCCAAGGTTAATACAAAGGAAATAATATTTATAGAAGTAGGAGGTAGCTCTGGCTGGTAATGTTTTAGGTGGAAAAAACAGACAGGCTTTTGGGCGCTGACTGTTTGACTTGTCCACTTTTTCCATTAGATCATTTGCTGTTAAAAGAAAATGTTTTTTCCCTAAGTATCTTCTGTCACTTCTGCATTAGATTTTCAGAAAAAGTGTCAAATTTAAGTAGACTCTTGTCACCAAGAACCTTGAGTGTTTCTCTTTTGAGAACCTGTGTTGTAATTAACCTTTGGAATTGCTGTTTTACCACACAGGTTTTCTTCTAGGAGTGTAAGATATCCAGAGTGTGCTAACTTTTTTAAAATTTGGAGTTGTAACATGAAAATACTTGTGTCCTTTCATATGAGGCCATGAGGTTACCACTGACATGAGAGATTTTTTTTGATAAAAAGAAAGATGGAAAGAACGGATGACTTCATGAAGGACTTGGCGAGGGGAATTTGACTGCTAGTGGAAGATAACACAATAGTCAATGAGGTATACACAGTAAGAAGTAAGAATATTTATTTTACTGATTAAAATTTTAGTGCTGTTCTTGGCAAGAAGTATTTCCTTTAATCTGGAGCTGCTTTGTTTATTCTTGAGGCAAATCTGTCTGGAGTACAATAGAACTCTCTTCATAAAATGTTTTCAAAGGGTGCTGACACAGTGGAGGAGTTGGGTGTTTGATCAGTACATTTGTATTTATATAGATGTTGAACATAATATTTTATTTTTGTTTTATATATACGTATGTAGACTGCTTTGTACTGGAGAATAAAACCTTGGCCTGAAAGCAATGAAATTTGTTTCCTGAATGGTAGATGTTTACATGGAGCTCATGTGCTGTTAAACCCCTGTCCCTCTTCACTAACATATTCCATGCTCAAATGGAAATGTCTAGACATACTGGATAAAATAAATTCTAGTGATACTTCATTTTACCGCAGAGATGATCTTACCTCATTATTCCTGCTCCAAATTAATAGCATAAAAATGTAGCAATAAAATATTAAAGTGACAGAGAGGAGAAATGTTGATAGTTATTCACTACATTTCTGAGTGGTAACTTTAGTGAAGTTTAAAATCTGTTGATAGCAAGTAAAGAAGCATGTTTCTGTTGGTTGAGAGACTGTGTTGCAAAGTGATGTCACCCATCCTCATAGCACTGTATTTTATCTATTGACTTCTGCCAAAATATGCCTTTTCCTACCAACTCAAACAGAATTTTAAACCTTCATTTTCCCTGACGCATCCTGAGTGTTTCCATGTGCTTTGTCCTGAGCAATAGAATTTAAGGTTGGGAAAACAAGTGGAGATTTACTGTTTCATGCTAACTAGAGGAGAATGCGTACCACAACATAATTCTCTCCTCCCTGCTAACCAGAAAGATATGTTAGCTTATATGTGGCAGAGATTTCTTTGCCTTGCCATAAGCATTGCATCGGACTATCTCCCACACTCCCTCCTGCAGTGGCAGCAGTGTTGTCCTGGTAAACACATGGCAGCTGCATCTTGCAGCATTCCCTGTCTAGCAGCCAAAGTCTAAAGCCCCGTCAACCCTTCCTCATCTTATTCGATTTCATTTCCTTGGATTTTTTTTGTTCTCCAGATAACCAACACCAATTTCATGATCAGTGTTTTTAACATTAACACTAAAAGCCAGAAATTTGTAGCAGTTCATGCACATTTGACTTGTGGCTGCCAGAAAACAGCGGGTATTGCAAGCCAGACTGACATGTTTCACCTGCATTAAAACAACAGTGAAGATGAAGGGGAGAATAAGGAACAGTGCAATTACTTTCAGTAGTTGCTTCAGGAGGAATTATTTTGGAGCAGATTCATTCAAGGCAGCATCATTTCTGTAATAATCGAACAGGTTTTGACTTGAAGTGGTACATGTTGTGGACCTGAGGTGAACAGTAATGGAAAAATTCAGGATAGCAGACATCCTGCACAGGCTTTTCTTCCAGTGCAAGTTCCCCAGTTCATTGAGAGGCTGTGATTACATCTGTTTAGAAGTTCCAGATTTCAATTTGCTTTTGCTCAGCAGCAAACTGTGTTTACAAACAAATGTGTGTTCCAATAGCAGCACAAGCCTCTTAAATAGGTACTGTTATCTGTTGGAAGGCTTGTCAGTGGTGACTCTGTTAACTGCAGTAAAGGTAATTGATGAAACCCATATTGTAACTGTTTTGTACTTCCCACATCAGAAGGGAAAATTCATATTTTCACCAAAAAGGGGGTTTTCTAGGGCTAGGAACAACATGCAGTACTTAAGTTATAACTTTACATTGTTACACGCACTTAAAAAAACTCTTGAGAAGGCAAAGAAATAACCTTGCTGAGATTGTGAGGCAAATTCAACAGATTTATAGACGTTCTGAAGGAGTTAATATTTTTTCCCCATTTAATATTCTTCAAATATGCATATAAAAAGGACAGTAATGTTTTATTTCTTTTTGTTCCCGGGCAAGTTTGTGAGAGATGGCAACATGAGATGCTGTGCTGCTGAAGTTTTTGTGTTGGTTTTGCAGCATGCGATCTGTAAATCTAAATTTTACAGAAGGTAACAGCAGCTTTGAAAGTCTGAAGTGCCATTCGCACAGTACTATGGGGCTGTGTATTTTGCTCTATAAGATTTACACATGAATGCCTCTGTACCTGCATGCATCTTCAAAAATTGAATAGATGTCTTCAGGTTACTTTACGACCTCCTAGCCTGGAAAAATGTGGTGGTTGACATGCAGGGATTATTACTTCTGCTTGTGGAGCTATATAAAAGCAGAAAAAAATGAGCTTTGACTATATAGAAATACTTTTGGCTTGAGGTAAAACTATCTAAACCACAAACAAAAAAGCCTCTTTTCTAAAAAATGAAAATGCTGCAATGCCGTTCACAATAAATTGGTCAGCAAGGGGTACGTCGATCAAAAAGCATTTTGCTTTGACTTTGAAAACCTCAGTCACTTGCTGCTCTTGGAACATTTGGTTCTCACCTGCCTGACACCAGACCTTTGTTTCAAAAATAAAGGGGAGGCTGCTAAGTGGAAAGAGGGAGAGATGCTGAATTAAACTAAGAACATAAGAGGCCATAAAATATGTAATGCAAAAATTCTTTTTTAAAAGTGCAGGGTGTGCTGGTTGTTGAAGTATGCAGGGGCAAGTGGCCCAAAACTACCTGTCTGCATGTAAGCAGGAAAAAATGAGGCAATTATCAGAGCCCAAGAAAGGGGAAAGACAGATAATCAAACCATTGTGGGTAGGGGTTCGAGCACTGTGGGAAAGCACTTGGAGAATTGCCATCACAGCAGGTATAACCTCACAAATAGTGTAGGCTGGCATCACTGCTGATAAACATATTGGAAGAAGGGGGAAAAATAATCGTGGATTTTTATTTTTTTTTAGTCCATAGATCTATAAATAGTCAATATAGTTGAATACAGATGTTTTTACTGCATTGCAACCAGTCATACTATGAAGGAAACCTTTCTGTAAAGAAGCTTTCAATGCAGTTTTCACCATCATTTGAAAGGCTGAAATTTGACTGGCTTTTAGTTCAGGGTGCTTTAGTAGTATTCCCATCTTCCTCCTCAGATTCTAAAGCAGTTCCTGCTCTTGCTCCTCTTGAGCAGTCAGTGTGAAGTTATTTTAGTTTTAGCCTTTGGATGTGCTCTGAATAGTTGAATCCTGTTTTTCTCCTTTGTTATTTCACATGTGAGAGTAAATGTCCTGGGCAAGCATCATTAAGAGAGATATGAGCAAGGTAAACCTTGGTAAAAGAGTAAAAACAAACCTGAAGAGTTGTTTTCTTGTTTATTTCAATGCAAGTACTCTGTATCAGATTACACTTATGAGTATGGTTTTCTGGAAAAGGCATTTTTATCTACTATTGCTAAGGGAAATACAAAAGAGACTACAAAGAATTTAAAGTACTCAGGTTTATTATGTCTCATACCTGTAGGAAAACTTGCTTCAAAATCTTAACATACAAGGTTTCTCATATACAATGATGTGGAGAGTTGTTGGTATTTCTTGCTCCAGTACTTTTCTAGTTCTGTTATTTTCATTACAGAATTTTCTATCTGGGGTACTTTAATGTAGAATTCTGATTAAATCTTTAGATTTGGAACACAGACTGAATAAATGCATCTTTTTTCTTGTTTTGCATGTAAAAAGTCTTGCTAGACTTGGAAAGAGCTTTGCCATGTGTTTAGTTCATAGCCTGTCTGTACCCCTCTGTGCAGGTACCAGGTGTTTTCTGATATCAAGAAGAGTGTTAAGTCGACAAACTACTGTTGATTTGGATTGTTTTAGCATAGAAGAAAAAATTCTTTGACTTAAATTATTTTATTAAACCAAGAGACTAATGAATTTATTTTATCTTTACAGACTATTGGGAGTATTCTGGAAATGTGCCAGGATTGGTAATATTTTTTTCTTTTAAATCTTTTAAACCAGTGCTTTATTTCTAGAGTATGCATTATTAATTAGGATAATGTTTCCATGTAGCAATGAAACTCATACTCACACACTGTCTTTAAAAATGCAGGTTTTGCCTCCATGAAATACTGGGGCAGGTGGGGCAGGGTATAACTATCTTTCTTAGCATCATAGAAGCATGGATTTTCTAATGCCAGTTCATATATGTGGTGTCATATTTGCAAAAATATTTTGCACTTTTTACCACGTGAAATAACTAAGGGCATACTTCTTATTAACATACAAAGAAATCAGTGATTCCTTATAAACTGCTGTCTGTTTGAAATTCAGATGGACTACTGACAAAAGCCAGATATTTACCTTATAGTAATAAAAAAAAAAAGGAATTCTTAATGCAGTAAGGTTCTGTTTAATCACAAATGTCTTTTTGCTGTCCTCTCTTTAGTTAGTTTCTGTGCAATTTTGAATTACACAAAGCTGTTAGTGTCCAGTGGCATCTATATGCAGACTGATCAGCTCTATCTGATTTTAGACATTTTCCCATAACACTGATAATTATATTTATTTTAATCCTTAGTGTGTATTTATTTTGAGAAGGAAGTGGGAATGTGCAACAGGAGTTCAGTGTTAGCATTAAGGTATATCCAGGATTTTTTAATAATTACAAATCCATCATCAAAACAGTCTTCTTCAAACTGCATTGTTAATGCAAAGTAGAAACATTGAACTTGTAATTCTAGATCTTCCTACTTGTCATTGAACCTAAAGGAAAAATGTATGGTTCCCTTTTCTGCATTCTGAGGCTTTGAAAGGGACATGACATACATTTTTCAGTGTGTCAGCATTGACGCAAAAACCAGTTTTTTTGTGAAGACCTGTTGTTAAAATGATTGCAGATATTGTCCTATTTAGATAACAGACATGGCAGAACCCATTTTAGCATTGTAATTGAAGGATACTGTCAAGGTGGCAGCTGTCAGAAATTAATTTTGAGCTATACCGGGGAAAAAACGATGAAGAAACTCAGCTGTGTTAAGGTGTGTTGAAGGTTGAAGAGAACACCCTACCTTACCTTACAGTCTTCTTTTTAGTTAATAAACACAAGCATATTTTTTTCTGTTAGCTATGCACAGCAAACACTTCAAAAAACTATTTAGAAGAGTACACAAGAGGTTTTATGAGGTCCGTGTCAACTTGATAGAGTTAAGAACTGCGGTTCATCTGGAATATAGTCTTGCTTTGCCATTAACATGTTTTCATTTGCTGCATCCAAGGTAATGCATGCACTCTTGTGCCCCATACTAAACTACTTACTTTTCTCTTTTTCATGTAAAACACTAATGTCTTTCCAGCTTACATCTGTAGTGGTCCACTTTGACTTTGCTTTAGCCTGACAGATGAGAAGGTAGCATTTTAGCATTCCTTATGTATTTTTCCTTACGTAACAGTACCATATCCTCAGTATGGGAAATAGGCTTTGAAGATGATTCCGATCATTTTATTTGTGTTAATCACAAAGGCATGTAGAAAATGTAGGCTTTAAAAAATGAAAATGCATACTGGTTTCCTTTACATTTAACATGCCCGGTATGTTTAAACAACCTTTTCACATTACCATAAGATTTTAATAAACATCAAGTGGTTACATATTTACAAAATTGTGCAAAATTATGTTTAAGCCTGCCACATGGTGATTTCTCTTTTAAGAAAATTAAGAGCAGGAAAGTATAACCCATATGAAAATTCTAATACTCTAACTGTAGGAGGTGGACTTCCTCAAAAATTTATTTTAAACAGATGTGACACTGCAGACATTAATTCATTCACTTATTTGAAGTTTAATTAAATATATGCCAGATCATGACAACATCTAGTAATGTCACCATGGCAGGCACTCCTGCTTATGGGAGGTGTCACTGTAAGTATTTTATTTTTCATTTTCATTGCAAAGTTTGTCCCTCCTGTATTTAAAGGTTCTGCTGGTAAAAGAGATTATTTTGTTCTGAGGATTGCACCTATATGCTAGACTTGGGAGCCTTGGCAGTCTTTTTCTTTAATGTTTCCCTCAAAACTGTGTCTCAGAAAAGATGGTTTGTAGTAAGACAGAGGACCTTGCACAGGAAAAGGAAATTGAACTCTGTTTAAAGCAAACAGCTCCAGCTCTGACTTTATGTTTCTGAATGCGTAAAACCAGGAATCTTCTCCCTTTAAAGAGTCATTGCTCTCTTAACACTTCCTGACAGTTTTGTAGGCTGGACGTACCATCCAGGGGACACTCTGCTCTCCAGAGAAAAGTCAGTGGATTTGTGAAGAGTAATGCTTAAGTAGAAGAGTAAAAACAGCTGTCTAATTAATTGGATGAAGTGCCCATGTAAATAGGTAGCAGTCTGATTAGTATTACTGATATTCCCCTGATAGTTTGACAGTTCCCTACCTGAGATTTTTTTTTTTTTTTTTTTCTGTAGTTTATTTGGTGAACAAGAGACCTCTGTAACATTTTGTTCTGGACCAAATGACTGAGAATAGATCTTTCTCAATTGACTTTGCCACCAAATATGAGTGTTAATAGAGTAAGCTTAACTTTCATCCATGGTCTGCCCTGGAAAACTGTGACAGTAATTTGGAAGAGTCAGAAGGAGACATATCTGTGCAACTTCTGTAATCTGTGGATCATTTTTATCACTAACCTGAAAATCTGTGGACCCAGACCCTCTCCACATGCTAAAAATACTGTGTCTCCCTAGCAAAGAAAAAAAAAAACAGGCATCTGTCCATGTCTGGGCCGCTGTGAGTTCCTCGGTCAGTTAGCTGGCTCCTATATGATACCACGCATAAAAGATGCATGCTGCATATAGCAGCTGTCATGGCCAGACACATTGAGGTATACCTCCTCTCAGCTGACACCAAACAGCTTTAGAGCAGCAGTAGCCCTTAGCCAAAACTGAGAACAGAGCCAGTAAAAGATTTGGTGTCTTGATCAGTTTTCCAACGCCTGCCTTCTGCCTCTCTTTGGCACTAAGAGATAGCAGCAATTTTTTTTTATTTTTTTTTTTTTTTAGTGTTTTCCTGGAAACTGCATCTCAGAAAATATGATTTATTGTAAGACAGAAGTCCTGCATTCACCTGTACTTAACACAAACAGCTCCAACTGTCTATATGTAGCAATATGTCCTATCCTACATCTTTGTTTCCCACTCTCATGCATGTTCATCCTCAGTACACAGTAGTTGTAATAGCATTTCTCCAGCTAGAAATGTTGAACATTAATTTGCATGTGCAATGGGATAATTACCTTGTTAGGCTAGGAGCAGCCTAGATCTGTTTAGTCGTGCCTGAATTTTTGTTTGATTTGGGTTTTTTCCCTCCTCACAGGTGAACGGAAGAGCCCCTGCGTGGCTGTGTGCTGTGTCATGATGGCATTCAACATTCTGTTTTTACAGTAGCGATTGGAGAGTGTCCCCTACACCCTACTCCCAAACAGCAGAGTGTGGAAGAACTTCTGGCAGGAAGAGATGGGAAGGAGCCACCAAGTTTCCTCTCGCACGTTTTATAGCCTGTCTGTAGTGGGCACCCCCTGCTCCTGCAAACAGACCATCATGTACAGTATTGGGGATCATAATGTAACTTAACTTCAGTTGACATGTACTTATTAATATCCAGTCCGTACTGAACCTCCTGATGCAGCTCTTGTAAAGGTGTCTGTTTCAGGGGAGCTTTTCTTAAACCATGCAGTTGAAAAGTTGAAAAGCCTTTTTTGAGAGACCTCTAATAAAAATTAAAAATTATGAATCTAGGAATAGCAATAAGAGCACTCTTAAAAGAATAAAGAGCTTTGTTACTCTAGCATATGTTTATGAAAGTATTACTGCCTGAACAATTCCTGTCACTTTGTGATAGCTGTACTCACGTACAAAAAATATGACCCCTGGCCTAAGTTACATTCAGCTTTTATTTTCTAAACTTTCAATTCCTCAAATAATCTATCAGTATTTTTATTGTGGAGGTAAGGTATGAATAAAAGTAGGGACTGTAATTGTAGTGATATCTGACTAGCTGCTGAGAAGGCACAGATGTGGGATTTGACAACCTGGACTGCTCTCTATAAAACACTACGTGTATTCATTTTTAGAGGTCTAGGTTTCAGGTAAATCATTCCCCAGGGTTGTGACCAAAGTATTGTGAGAAAAGGATTCTAAAGGCTCTGCTGCTGTTGTGTGTAATACAAGGTTGCTAAATCATCTAAGTGAACAGTTAGCTTTGTAGGATTCTGCAGATGAGGAACTCGCATGTCCCAGTATTCTATAGGTGAAGAAAACAACTAAATTATATTACACTCACTATTAATATAAGATTAGATTACTGTCATGATTTGAGCCCAGAGGGCACCTGAGCACCACACAGCCTCTTACCCACCCCTTCTGCCTCAAAACTGGGAAGGAGAAAATAAAAGGCTCAGGAATCAAGATAAAGATGGGGAGGGGAGGGTGTGATTGGCTCACCCATTATGGTCATGGACAGAAGACAGACTTGTTAGGGGAAGAAAAAGAACATCAGTTTACGTCAAGCAAACAACACTTGACAGAGTGGGACAGTGAGAAGGTTTACCATAACTTAAAAATGCCTCTCCCACCCCTCCTTTTGTGGGCTCAGCTTTGCTCCCCACCAGCAGCACAGGGGGCAGGGGATGGGGGGTGTGGTCAGTCCCACCACTCCTTCCTCCTCAGGAGGAGGAGTCCTCACACTCTTCTCCTGCTCCAGAATGAGTTCTATCCCCCAGAAGTCTACAAATTTTCTCCGAAAGGAATCATTCCTGAGCTGCTGTGCCGTGGGTCACTCCTGCATGTGCGGCTCTCCCAGCACAGAACTACAAGAGCGGGGGCTGCTTCTCCCCTCAGAGTCCCGGCCTCCTTCGGGCGCAGCCGCCTGCTCCGCTGTGGGCTCCTCCAGGGGCTGCAGGGCGGCATCTGCTCCACCGGTGCCCTCCGTGGGGGCAGGGGGGGCCCTGCCCTCTCACCACGGGGTACAGGGGATCTCTGCTCCAGCACAGCTGCCCCCTTCCTCCTCCTTCCACTGGCTTCAGTGGTTGTGTATGTGTCTTTCTTGTAAGTTATCCTCACAAGTCCCCTTCATAACTCCAACTCTTTCTTCAGTTCCCCTTCTTAAATTGCAGAGGTGCAGCCATCATCGCTAATTGGCTCAGCTTTGGCCAGAGGCAGGTCTGACTCAGAGCCGGAGGAGCTTGGAGAAGCTTCTCACAGGGAGCACTGCTGTAGTCCCCTCCCCTGCTACCAAAAACCCCTCCACACACACAAACCCACCACAACTACCTTTAGTAATGCTTACCATTAGCATTTATTCAATAATTTTTCAAACTTTCAGTAATCTAGTAACTTACTTCAATAGCACCTGACAGGTGTGTTTTCACAACTCAATGACATTATGTTGACTGCACTAATCATAGATTACCAGGTTGGAAGGGACCTCAAGTATCATCTGGTCCAACCTTTCTTGGCAAAAAAGTTGTCATCTGTCAGCAGAATTTTTTGTTCTGAAAAGGTGTGTGATCTGAATGAACTGAGCTGGCAATAAAACACACTGAAAAGGTGTGTAACTGTTGTCATTCTTGTTTGAAAAACTATTTCATAGATTCAGATTACCCTTTATTTAGAAAGAAAATTATTATTACTTACTACCTTTGTGTTCTCTCATATATGCCTGCATATCTAAATCACCATCAGAAGAACTTGTCCAAAACTCTTTTCTAATGGGGAGCTGGAAAAAACACATTTCTCCAATTTAGGCCAAATAAATACCCTTGACTGTAAAGCAGGCAGGTTCAGAGGAGTACAGAGCAGTATGATGATGACCATAGTGGGCAGAAGCCTTAAACTGTGCAGGAGATCCCAGGAGAAGCAAAATCTATTTCTGTAACTTTAAATGTGCATACTGCTTCAAACGCAGTGTCAAAGCAACTAATTTTTGGATTTCAAAGGTGCTATTCCTAGATGAAGGAAGTTCCTAAAGAGTCTTGCATTTTGACTGTTGGGTGTATACAGGTTCAAATCATATGAAGAATGATTTGATAACTTTTTATATTAAGCAATTATGCACTAGTTTTTAATATTTATAGGACTTTTATTATAAGTAATGGTGTTTGTATAATATTCACACATATCCAATTCATCCAAACCTGTTGTAGTTTTCTAATTAGTTCTTAATCTGTTGTGTTTAGCTGTGACTAGGAATACCAGTGAAACAACCCCCGGAAATTTTTAGTAATGAGAATCTGAGAACTAATGACATGAAGGCATTGTATTGCAAAAAAGCCTTTCCTGTTCACAGCATTTTATTATTGAAGAAGTTCAGACAAACAGGCCTTTTCCTGTTAACGTGTCATTTGTTGTTCAAACTTTAAAATTGCTTCTTATGCAGCAGTTCTTCATTTTGTCCTAAATGCAGGTCGTTGACAGATATTTCTTCATTTGGGATCTTTTTCATTTCCACTTTGTATGCCATTTACTGGCTATTGGTGCTGTGCTAGCTGCATGGTTGCCCAGTGGTGTCACTTTAGCAACAAAGTAAGTAACACCTTTATCAGCAGCTGCTGGCAGTATGTATGTTCCGCAGCATTTGGTTGTATGCAAGTGTTAGAAATGATTGTAGGCAGAGATAAGTGTCATCTGTGGTGGGGCCGCTCAGCACTTGCCTCTAGTAAAAGTACCTGAAACCAATATCTTTAAACTGACAAAATTTAGTTGTTTGGAAATGACTGCTTTAGGCAGGTGTTTGCCTCAAGATGAGTTTTGAATTTAAACAAATTAATACCTCCTCTCTCTTACTAAGGTACGAAGAAAATACTGTTTTCCCATATTAGAATCTTAAAGCCATTTTGCTTTCTTTGATTTCTTTTTCTCATGCAAAAGAGACATGAGAAACCGAGAATGCCTTGACATTTGACCAAGTTATGAATGATTTGAGAAGGAGTGTAACTTTGGGCACACAGACCTGGTAAAGTGTTACCACAAGTCACTCAAACTCTCAGCCTGAACTGTGTCAGTTTCAAAGAGCAGTAGTAAGCTCCAATAGAGCTCTGTCAGAAGAGGTGTCAGGGAAAATATTTTTTTTTACATTCAGTCTTTGCTCTGATTCTAGACTGAGTAGAGAAGTGAAACACTTACTACCAAATTATCTAGGTCCTAAAGTAGCCTAAGATGGCAAATAGACAATTGTAGGATTTGACATAAATTGGCAGAGTAGGTAACAGCTATCAGAGGTGGCTGAGGAGACAGCAGCAGGAATTTCTGGCTGAAACTCTGGAGCTTACAACTACAGCAAATCTTTACACCTTATACTATTTAGAGGTCCTGCAAGATGCACAGGGAGTGAACGCAATAGTGATTAAATATGACTTAGGCTATATTTGTGTCTTCTACTACAGAAAAGTGCTTCCACGTTGGGAGTTCATCCTTTTATCTAAACATCTCTAACATCTGGTAAGCTTCCCCATCCATACTTGTTGCACACATTGCATGGAAGGTGAGGGTGGCGTAGGCTGTGATTTTAAGTGCAGATCAGAGGTGGGGTCCCATCTGTTTTTCTCTACTGATGAAAAAGCAAGGAGAATGCAGGATTACAGAAGAGCATTGTCCAATAAAACAGCATACCTTGGATCAAGATTATGCAACTTGAAAAACACCAAGTGTTCTCCTAAGTGTTGCACAAGCAGAAGGAACAGGCATGGACCCTACATCTTGTGTTTGGCACAACATGTACACTCTCTGCAGCATTTTAAGTTTGTGATTGCAACTCTTAGAGATGTGCTTGAGCCGTCTTGTGGATTGGCAGAATTACAGGCAAGGGTAGGAGTTCAACTGCAAGTCCTCCCCTTCTCACGCATGGCCTGGACTGAGCTGTGTGCTACCACAACTGTATTGGTATTGTTTCACTAAAGGTATACCAAGGTAAAATTTGCAAAAACGGCACAAATTTGCAATCTTGGAACAAAATGTGGCAATCTATTTGCTATATGCAAATCCAAATTTACTGCTTAACAATGCAACTAATAATTATTAATTCAGTAAAACCTGAAACATGATGTGTTGTTCTTTGAATATGCAGAATATTTTATATCCTTGCATGTACTTGCTATGGATTAATGTTATATTAATTTTCATCCACATCTGCACTCTAAATGACCCCAGATTCAAAGCAGGGCTTTAGGAAGACTAAATTGAAAAGCAGTACTAGCCATGTTGGGAAATGAGTAAAGCATGAGTAAGAGATGGGATCACCGTAAAGGTCTGATGTTCTGGAGAGACTGATAAGCAAATGGGCAGACATAGCGAGGGAAGGAGGAAAGAAAAAGTGGAGTCCAAGATGACTCGAAGATTTCATGTTCTTGGAACACTGTTATAGTTCTATGAATGCCCTTTCTACCTCGTTAACCGCAGCCAGAGAGCAGTGGAAATAAGCTGTCACTAAGAGGTGAGGTTGCAGTGTAGTAGAGGAAATAATTACTGTTAGTGCTCTAATGCTTTTATTCTTTCAGTTCGTTCACCAGCTGAAGCAATTCACACTGCCTGTGAAGACAACACATTATTCACAGATAAAGCAAACCTGAAGTCATTCTGTACAGCACCTAGAAGCAAAGCACTGCATCAAACATACTATTTGGCAATGGACAGTTGGAAATACAGAGAGGATTACTGTCACTTCCTGTATTATGGCTGATGTTTTCCCACTGCTGAACCCCCCAAAACATGCCTGGATCTCTGATTACTGCTGGCAGTTAAAGCCACCCTTTTGATCCTTCCCAGTGTCTCCCCAGTAGACCAGTAAGGATTA